TGTGTTTTACTAGTGTCGCTCATTAGAGATCTATTTATCATTGATTCATTTTTTTTTCAATTATTTTTCTTTGTTTTCGAAGAATTTCTCATCTCTCGTGCATTTATAACAAACAAGATATAATGATGAACAAATCTTTGTTCAACGTGTTTTGTGCTTCAAACTGTGAATAGAAAATCGGAGTGGGTATTATATTATCTCTTATCGTTCACCAAGTGACACCGGAATCCACCCTACAGCTACACACATCCTTCGCGTTCAATATTTAATAATTATTTGCATATTACAGTTCGGCACACACGTTATGTTGATTTTAATCTTTTCTACTTATTGAAAGAAAAAGTACTCAGTTCTGTTAATGCAATTAGTATATTCTATTTTTGTCGAATTTGTATTTATGTAAATTATAAATCAAAGCAAATCAATTTTTCTATATATATATATCAAATGTACATTTTATCATTCTCTTAAATTTCAAAATATAATCTTTATTTGAAAAAATGTTCTACTAAATACAACTGCATATATTCAATCAATTACATTAAAACCATCGTTGTTTATGGTAGAAAAGTGTTTAAGTTCTTAAAATTCTTTGAAGTTTCTGAGTCTTTTGACATTTTTTAATGTAAAAATTGAAAAATCTCAGGTTTCAGCTATTTCTTCCTTGCTGCTTCATCATAACCGGAATGGAGGTGAGTAAGATATAAATAAAATAGTCACACCTACTCTTGTTCTATAAAAATAATTTCATTCAGCTTTAATGCTTCGAAATTAATTGTTTTTTTCTTTATTTTATTGAATTATTATAAATTTTGACCTGAATCCGATGTTGTTGTTATTCAGAATTGCATGATATATAATAAACTCAGTCTATTTGATGCACATTTACTATGCTGTGAATAGATGAATTTGATATATGTAATTTTTGAAGATCTTTATACATACAATCGTATGATTTTAAAAGAAAAATCGTGGTAACGTATTTAAAGGTGTGGGTGTCCATATGTCGTTCGTCACATCTTCAACCACATCCACATAAATACTCACAATTTCCAAGATTTTTGTTGTTATCTTTGGCAAATAACGTAGAAACTCTACGGTAACAAATAATATGATCGCCAATAAAAGAAAAAGAAATACTTCTTACCAACTTGGATACATAACCTTGCTTATCATTATTTTACAACCAAAATAAAAGGATTGATTTAGCTTTATATATATAGAAGGTGAATTGTGTATGTTCTGCATATTTTTATTCATTTCAACAAAAGAAACTATTACCAACATACGCGTCAAAAAGACAGAATAACAAGTGATTTGCCAATAACAAAGTCAGTAAATATTGCTCAACCCATTTTGTTGTACAGAGTTTTTTTCTTTTCTTGTGGAGATCAATGTATGAGAGTCTGACACATACATAGTTTTTATTTAAATTCAGTTATAATTCTAATTTTAAAAACAAATTTTTATTTTATTTGTAGAGTATTTAGTGTGCTTATTAATCGAAAATATTCTTTCATATAAACATGGCTACAGGTGAAAATGCTGCCCCACAACAGTATACACGTGTATCAGATATTGTCAAAGAACCACAAAAGATGCTCATGCCAATTCGAAGGTACGAAAAAATGCCAATAGTGTTACTGGAGGAAATCGAAAAGGACGTCAATTAAATCAACTCTATAATCCGCAAGGGCTCTTTATTGATAATGATGATAAATCAGTTTATATTGCTGATTCTGATAACGATCGTATTGTTCAGTGGAAATTGAATTCAAATACTGGTCAAGTCATTGCAGGTAAAAATGGACAAGGAAATCAATCAAATCAATTGAATTTTCCCATAGGTTTATCATTTGATAATGAAGAAAATCTTTATGTTGTTGATAGAAACAATGATCGAGTCCAAAAATATGAAAAAAATTTAAATTTAAAATAGTTTTAATTTAATTTGACAGAATTTCGATTTTTACTTTTGAAAATAAGTAAAAATGAATTACAAAATTTCTTCTAATAAAATACATGAACTTGAAGATGGGTGGATGTGGGTGTGAATAATGAAGAAACAAAACCACACGCACTCACACCGTTACCTTCAATCAAGCTTTGTCGGAATTATTTTGCTGAAAAGATGTCGCCGTTGATTAAAAACTATTCAAGTAGTAGGTTCCGCATTTGGACAAAGACAGTAAGCATGAAAAAATCTCAGTTTAAGTATATCTCTAATCAAAAAATGTTTCGCTAATGGTTTGTTAAAGTGTTTTGTGTCGTTTACCGATCTTGAGTGTGTGTGGATGGGGTGAAGAAGATAATATTCAACTGCACACCCCCAAAATACGGACAGAATTTTAAAAAAACATTTTACAAGCTATACTAAGCTCAGGTCGTGACAAATATTAAACAAGCAACACTTTTTATTTATACAATAATGTTCAAAACAATAACTCAAGTTTTAAAAGTATATGCTAATTAAGAATATTAATTCTGCAACGCGAATAAAGTAGATTAGTTCTTGAACGCATGTCATGTCTTCAACTTAGTCAAATAGAGATTTTGTCGTAATATGTAGAATACTGTTTCAGTCATATATTATAATCCAGAAGCGTTTAATTTCATTATATCAAAACGTCGGCGGATATATGATATTATCTGCATGAATTCTTCTCGATAAACTGGTGCTGGTAGAATAAAAATAAACGCAGACAGTATAAATGAAAGGAAATAACCGATAAGATAGAACCATAATAGATGAGATGATTTATTACATTTTAAAATAAATGAAATAATTAAATGAGGTAACGTTAAAATTATGATAATAATAGGTCTGATTATAAGATGTTTATATTGTTTTATTTTTATTTTAAGGAGGTCTTGGAATCTTGGATTACTCGTAGTAGATGTTCGGTAACGCTGACGAGTAGTTATTACATTAGTTACTAACGGACCAATATAATGAAACATAATCACAGTAAAACTGTACGTTTGCATAAATGATGAATAAGTAATGACACACCAACTTCGTTCTTTTATGTTGTCAGTAAACGCATGAAGTTGAATTATTTGAGGAACATAAACACCAAAGTTGTTAAGAAATATCATTACCACCGCATAACTGGCAATTGTTTTACTTTTCTCCGCATTAAAACTAATTCCTTGTCGTACAGAAATAATTCGTTCCATAGCTACGCAAGTATATAGACTACGATGTTCTAAAGTCAATTGATAAGAGAGAAAAAATTAACCAAAACTCACATGTAAATAAGATTATAATTATTAGCGAAGTATATAACGCAAGTAAAAGGTATATTCCACAACCAACTTTTTGCGATGCTTGTCTACGACAAACCATTATTGATAAAATACAATTAATGATACCTATAACAAACATTATCATTGTAATAGTAAGACTCATTATTACTGTGATAAACTGTTCAGATAATATTGTATTAATTCATAATCTAATATTTCATCTAATGTTGAGCCAAGACCTTTGGTATAAAATTGACATTCATCACCAAAGAAATAGGCTGGATCAATGAAACATATCATTACCAATACTGTAGAATTCAATAATTGTTCAGTAGGAATACATTCTTGTGAAGAACGAATAGATGTTGAGATATTTGTATGTAGAGATTGTTGAAGTACCGCAAGATGAGATGTGAAAAGTAGCAGTGTGTTGAAAGAGGGTCAACTTTCGAAGTATAATTGTCTGCATTGGATGAGATTTATTGGAGAGTGTGAAGAAATAAGCCGCAAGATATGATGAAATACGCACGTTAATTAGAGAAACATTGAGTCTAACCTTAATATATTGATTGGTTGTTTACTAATCCCAAATACTCAGAGTGGCATCGACAGAAATATTTTTCTTTATTTAAATATTTTACACAGGTACCATTGTCGCAAGTAATTAAGCAATTGGACGAAGTCTGCATGATATGATTTGATAAAATCAACGAGATAGCTAATCGATTGAGAGGTAAAAAGAGCGAAGTAATATGAGTCAGACGCAATTCTTCGAAACTTAGTTTTTGAGTGGTCGTTCTAAATACTTTACTGGACGAAAACAGTATGGAATAACTTCATCAATCATATCTAATAATTTAGAATAAGCCGATTTCTCACGGTAAACATGATAATTTAAACAATTATATTGTAAAGAATTGCTATTAATTGCCTCATTAGTATAGTAATAATTATCCACAGAATTAAAATTATTAGAAGAAGTTGAAAAATTATTTTACCTTAGTTTAATGAATTTGCGTCCATTATCGACCTTTTTTTATCTTCACTGGTTGTAATAGTACAGACTGTCTATAATCCAGAGAAACAAAAAGTTCTATATTTTTAGTGAGAGAAAATTTTTTTCTGCTGTGATGTGAATGAACAATTACTGTCATCGACAAACTTGTCTACTAGTAATAAAAAAAAACGTTAAACAAAGAATAAAACCATGTTCAAACAACTAATGAACGTGTTAAAACGATAATACTAGTTTCATGATAATATATAGTTACATATGTTAGAGGAAAAAAATCAACATCAATTTAATCATACTCTCCATATTGACACTTCATGCTTTATTGCTAATGTATAGAATAATGATCATATAATCATAATATAACGTTCGTCCAACAAAGAAAACTATACTCTTTCCTGACATCAAACGATATATCGACACAGAATGTAATCTGATCTGTTGAGTTGCTGTCGTTTCCATAAAAAAATCATTGAGAGTCTGAGGGTAGGTGCGGGTGAGGATTTGGGTGAGTATGGGTGTGGATGTGAATATGGGTGAGGATGTGGATGTGAATATGGGTGAGGATGTGGATGTTTTACTCTTCTTTTATCCAAAGGGTGTGGATATATCTTCACTAACACTCATATCCACACCCATCCCTCAAGATTATCGTTAACTGTTTCAAATATTAGTTTCTCCATAAACAAGTTCCACATTCTTTATATTTATTAAAATAATGATAAAAATTGATTAACTGAAAAATATTCAAATCATTAAAGACACATTTATATAGTTTTTCTTCTTGTTCTTCTCCATTTATAAATTTAATGAAAAACAAGAAAATAATCATATATACGTATAAATATGCAATAAAAAGAATTTTATTCACATCTCAATTCTTAAATCCAAAATTTAATTGTCGTATATCTAATTGATGCATATCATTTTCAGTATTTTATTTTTTGATTAATTATCAAAATATTCCATTTCCTTCTTTTTTTATAATTAAAATAAAAATAATTTAAAAAATTTTAAAGAGTTTTTCTTTTCACTTCATTGCAATACTCATTATTTATTGTTTTGTCATGATTTTCTACTTTTTAAAAACAATTAAATATGCATTTTACTCACTGATTTCAATTAATTTTTTACTCGTTAATTCTTTTTCTTTACAATTTCTCATCGAATGAGAGAGAAAATAAATACTGCTATCATTTAAACTAGTTCACACGGTAGAGCTTTTTAAAAAAAAGACAATAGTTTCTTTTATTTCTTTGCAGATATATTTACAAATGAATCTTCTCTTTATTCATTCTCATACTATCAATAAGTTCTAACTCATGAATAAGAAAAGTTTACCTATTCGGTTACTTGAATATATCTATCATTATAATGTTTTCATACCTGATGAGGATGATTATGATGATGATTTAGATGATGACAATGATAAAGTCAGAGATCCTGCACTTACTCTCAAACAACAATTATATACAACTCGATTATATGTTCCTCTTTTTATCAGTAAGTTTCATAAATATAACGAGTTACTTGTGATGTTTCTACTACTTTTTAGTCATCCTATACATTCTTACTTTCATTGCTTTTGTCAGTCCACAAGATCGATTGATCACTGTCACTAATATAACTCCAGAGCTTTTCAATCAACTCTCTATCGAACATGCTGATACACTCTCTTGTCCTTGTTCAACTATTGCTGTGCCATATGAAATCTTGGTATCAAATACGATCTCTTTTCATCCAGTATGTTCGAGTATCTATGTGAGCAAAGAATGGATTCAAGCACTTTATTTATCTTATGCCAGTTCACTATTAGTGACAGATTTTCGAACAACTGCTAAATCTCAAGTAAGTCAATATCGGTGAACGAAAACAAAACTATTTTTCAATCTATTTAGTTTGAACTTCTTGCTGACTTCTGTTCAATTTGTCAAAAAACAGTTTTTGAATCTCTAACTGATCTGATGAATGAACAACTTGTTACTGTTCAATTACTTTCAGAAGATCAAGTTCGTTCTCAAATATTGGCTAATATTGATCTAATCAAGAGTAGTATACCTGCTCAAATCGAAAGTATAGTGAAATTATTACAGATAACAACTCAATCAAACTCTATCGTTTCTGCTCTGAATACCAATGCATATGTTGTAACAGATTTGTCCAATGCTCAAATACCATACATTCACCCATACTCAACACAGTTTTATAATGAAAACAGCAGTTACCAACTTAATTTCTTTGGTCAAACTTGCAATGTAGTAAGTGGAATAGCATTTTCTGGTTTTTATTCACTCTCACTGTATGACAGTACAAATAATCATCTTCAATGGCCCCTATATTATCCATATTTACCGAATAAAATAATTCCTAATGTAACAGTCGATGGATTCTTTAGTGCATGTACTCCACTAGATGGTTTGCTTGTCAGTACATTGGATTGCTTATACAGTAAAACTTGTCTTAAGAACTTTGCCGACTATTTTCCAGATCTGAATCAGGTATATTTCATTCGATCTTTTTAGTCATACTATTAATTAGATTCTACTGTAATTTAGACAAATTCCACATGGTCAGATGGTCTTTCAGCTTCATTTCAAAAAAGAATTGCTGTCAAAGATCTTTTATCTGACTTGTTTGTAGAAGAATGGTTACCTATGATCAATTACTCACAATATTTTACTTCTTGTGCTGCAAAAAGATGTACATATACTGAAATTAATCATATGAATCTTTTTTATACTGCTGCTCTTTTACTTGCTCTTTATGGTGGTCTCACCATTCTACTTCGTTTGATTACATCATTCTCAGTTTCTGTTTTTTTCAAAGTCAAACATCACTCAACCAACAACAATTTTAATCGTGGTAAGTTTTAATAATTACACAAAAGTGGTATAATAGATTAAAATATATTGTATCTATAGGCACGCGTACAAGGTATATCAAGAGATCGTTGAATAATTTGAAACAACTGAATTTGTTCAAATCACTCTCGAAAAGAACCACAGATGACATTAAATTACAACGCATAACTACACGTATTTATTTGGTTTTACTTGCAAGTATGATTGTTTATATCTTATTGATATATGTGTAACGATGATTAGTATATTTTATGTTTGATTTAAGGTAGTGTATGTATTTTTCTGCTATATAAATCACTCGATGTACAGACAACTAATATAATTGTATCAAAACCTTCGTTGATAGCATACAAACAGTTACAAGAAACGCATTCCGATTCACTTGAATGTTCTTGTTCAAATATTGCAGTACCATTTGAAAAATTTGTTACATGGTCACCAAGACTTCATCAGTTGTGTTCAAGTGATTTTATCACCGAGAACTGGATTTCTTTATTATCGCTTACTCAGTTAACGGTGCTTTATGGAGCGCGTATAACGGAGTGGGATGGTTTCAAAAGTACACATTTTCGTTTTTTATCCACTCTATGTCAATTAGCTAACAAAACTGTAACTGATGCTATTCAACGATTTGGTATACAATCGTTCATTACACTCAACGTTACTACTGAAACTAGTTTTAATATTCAGTTAAATATAATTGTTAATCAATTCGCTCAATCATTCATCACAAATTTTGATCTTCTTATCCAGACAGTACAACTACTCACTCAAACAGACCAACCTTATACATTAGATGGCAATGCATTATTATTTTATTTAACAACACAAGATGAAATCAATGGTGCACAATATGCTCGGGTATAGTGATAAGTTTTAATTGACCTGTTTTTTTTATTATTGTTTATGACGAAGTAACACAAGTAGAAAAAATTCTGTACCATCGATAAATCATATTGGATAATCAATTTCTTTCTTTTTGATTTAGGTTGGGTTTCAATTCACCGGTCCGACAAACGCCGAAACGAAGAGTGTATCATGTATTTGTGCTACAGATCCTCAATGCCAAATACCAGTTCTTGATCCTGTGAATACGACGATACTATCCGATGGTCATCAATTTTCTGAAGTGATAGGATCACTGCAAAGCTGCTATGTTGTAGATTCTGTGCTACTGTCAACACTTGAATGTTATTACTTACATTCATGTGTGTCCATTCTCTATAAATACATAAACAGATCAATGAGCTTCCTTGATACAGGTATCCCATATTTCGATGCTAATATTCTTGTTAATGATTCAGCATCGACTCATTTTCCTCCAAACACATCACTTTCAACAATAGTCAAAGCATTATTGGTCGAAGAATGGAATCAAGTATTTTCATTTGATCAATATTATGAACAATGTGCCCCTAGCAAGTGTACTTATTCACAAAAAGTACGTACTACTGATTTTCTTGGAATAATAATATTTGTGATATCGATAATCGGTGGTCTTATTGCTGGTGTACGATTAATCGCATCTTTACTGATTAAAATGATTGCCGTTTTATGGAAGATCAAACGGCGACCAAAGGTACCACAACAACCAACAGCATCAATATCATTCAGTCGAATAAAGCAAAATATATTCAAACTAATTAAGCTGTTACCCACTATACTATCCAATCTAAATATGTATCCAAGACGAACTTTTGGAGGACATTTCCATGATGATAAAGCAAAATATTTTGGACAATTATCAACACGACTTTATATCATTCTTCTCATTACAACTATGATTATTTTAACATTGTACAATGTCATCCAATCACGAATTATAATAAAGATCTTTGATAAACCAGATATAGATATTTACAATAGTCTTCTACTTACCCATAGTGACACTCTTCAATGTCGTTGTTCATCGATTTCATCAACATACAACCATTTTGTTCAAATTCAACCCGTTTTTCATCAAGTAAATATAGAAGATTTTTTGAATTGTATTCATCTTTAGTGTAATTAATTTATTTTAGATATGCTTAAGTCCATTTGTTTCAGAACAATGGCGAATGATGATTACTTCAAAATTATATCCAGATTTGTCTATCTATCATGATCGAGATTATCGTCGTTTTCTTTCATCTCATTTACAACTTCTTTCCGGGCTATGTTCCGAAGCGATGCAATCAGTAAATAGTTCTATTGATCAACTTCTTTCTTCATTTTTTCTTACTGATCAACTTGTATCACCGACTGCACTTGCAAGTCGTATTAATTCACTTGTTAATAGCAGTCAATTGAACGCTCCTAATTCTTTCGTCAGTCGTCTATCACTTATTCGATCCATCAATTATGGCAATGCTATTATGTCAGCTTATGGAACAAATTTTCAATACATTGTTCCTTGGGGAAATCCACCTTATCCAGCTGCAATCACTCAAGCATTAATTTATGATGATGAATGTTCATGTGCATTGAATATGAATTGTACTACTCAAGCTGGATTTATTCTAGATGATTTATCAACAATCAAACCAATCAATGGTTTGAAAATAGGTTGTACACCAAGTGAAGCATTATTTTCTTCAACATTAGAATGTTTTTATAATATATCATGCATCAATCTTATTCTTGAATTTGTCGATAATGACAATATGTTATATTCACCTCTGTCCTCAAATAATAGTCGATTTTCAATGAATTCAACTGTATTAGATTTGATCACAAATGTTTTCATTGAAGATTGGTTGACATCAATTGATTATCCAAAATATTTTAATCAATGTTTACCAAGTTCATGTTCATATCAATATATTCAAAGATTTAATTGGCTTTACACTGTTACTGTTCTACTTGGTTTTTATGGTGGTTTGTCATTCATTTTCAAATGGTTATGTCCAAAAATAATTCTTCTTTTTAATCAAATCTATCAATACTATAGAAAACGAAGAAATACGATTGGACCGATTTCTACAACAACAGTGGCAACAATTACGAATACTACGAATACATTGAATGAGAATCATATCAACAACACCACTACTGATGTATGGACAACATCTTCAATTTTACCACCGTATGTTACATTGATCTTTATAATAATTAATATTAATAATTGATTTTTAGAAAACAATTCACTTCGAGAATGTATCGTTATATTATTCTTGGAATGATTTTATTCGGGAGTTTGCTAGTGACGATGATAGTGGTATCGATTTATTTAAATTGGAAAGCTAATATGAATCGCACGACATTACCAGGTATTATTTATTTTAATTGTCAATTTTTTCCTCTAATGATTCCCCTTGCAAATAACATCATTTTCTATTTATACTAGTTTTATCAACGACTGTTCGAACAACTGATTCTACTACTTCAACACCCTCAATATTGTCAACAGGTTAGTATAAATATGTGTTCAAATAAACTTTTCATAATATAATAGAATACAATCCTATTTCTCTTTTTATGTAGAACCATCCTGTGTATTAACATTTGACCAATCAAATTTATTTACATTTTACCTCAGGTCTTCTTCTATGCCAATCATCACTGATGATTTTAATGGTGATACTTATCTCGATCTTGCTCTCGTTGATGACGAATTGGGTAATCTTAATATATTTATTGGGGATAATAATGGAACATTTACAGCACCATCGATATATGTTATTGGATCAGATAATGGTCCACAATTTATTACTGCTGGTGACTTGAACAATGATAATTATATAGATCTTGCTGTCGCGAATATTATTTCTGATACTATAGGAATTTTTTTTGGCTGTGGTAATGGAACTTTTCAAACACAACAGATAATTTCAACTGGATTCGTTCATTCACCCTTAAGATTAGTAATTGGTGATTTCAACGATGATCATCATTTAGATATTGTTGTTAATGGCATGCAATTAGGTATAATGTTTGGTTTGGGTAATGGTTATTTAAATAGCACAACAGTTCTCTGTGATGATGATGTATCGAATGGAAATTTTATCATTGCCACTGATTTTAATAATGATACACATCTAGATCTTGTTGTCAGTTACGGTTCCGATAGCATGATACGAATATTGCTTAATAATGGTCATGGATATTTTTATTTGTGGATGACTTTGACTTTAGAAAAATTTTCTATTCTAGATTCCTTTACAATAGCTGATTTAAACAATGATAATCGACCAGATTTGGTTGTTGGTAATTCAGAGAAAAATTACATAGCTATTTTCATTCAGAATAATAATGGAAGTTTTGGCCAACAGACAACATATCCGACAGGAGTATATGGTAGTATGTGGACGGTTGTTGCCGGTGATTTTAACAATGATGGTCAAGTTGATCTTGCTGCTACTCTTATTCTTAGACAACAAGTAATTATTTGGGTGGGTATTGGTAATGGAACATTTTTAGTGTCATCAATGTTTTCAACTGAATCTATTAGTGCACCGACTACAATGATTACAGGTGATTTTAATAGTGATAATAAATTGGATTTTATTGTATTAGATATGTATTCAGCCAATGTACTTATTTCTATCAATACATGTGATTGTTGTATACAAAATATTTCGAAGAAATAATGAATATTAACATGATAAACTACTCCATTCAATTATATACATTTTTATTCAAGCTTTTGCTTTTGTTCATTGTCTTCATTTATGCAATGTTGTTGGCTTCTTATTTATTTCAAATAAAACTAAACTTAACTTTAATAAAATATAAATTAAGAGAGATATTCAATTGTGGACGTGGGTGTGCATATAAAGTTAATGAGACACCCACACCTACATCTTCAATAACTTTAATAAGTTTTTCACTGTCTTCATTGATTGTTCTGTATATTTGTAATAACAATAAGGCATCGAAGTTTCGGCCTAGTGAGGTTATACTTCATACATAAAGTTCATCATTGCAAACCAACTATATTTACAAATTGGATTCTATCTAAGTGACTCTCTTTGAAAACAGGAACCAAAATAACGAGAATTCGAAAAAGAATAATGATAAAAATGCTTTTGTTAGAAAGGAAATAGAAATTAAATAAGATAATATTATAGAGCAAGTATTTCTACTATTTGATTAATTCTTTTAAGTCAAAACAATAATCTGCATTCTAATCTTAATATCTACATGGGATGATTGATCCTTTTCATAGGTAATTAATACTTGATCTTGTATGATTTCGAGTACTTGTTATTCCATAATTTTGTACTACTCATTCGAAAATATATACCAGCAGTGTGGCGCAGAGGTAGCGCGTTGGTCTCATAATCCGAAGGTCGATAGATCAAAACTATCCACTGCTATGATTCATTTTTGTAATTTCTCTTTAGAATTGCGTAATAACAGAGAAAACATTTATCTTGCGCAATCATAAATAGATGATGCAAGCAAGTGAATCAGGTTTGTTCTGTAATGTCTTTCTTATAAGAACTGTATTTATTAAGTGAAACAAAAGTGAATGTAGAATGAATACAATATCCACACCCACACCCACACCCTTTATTAATATACAGAAGTATTTCATCATTATCATAGTTTCTCGTACTTAGTTTTCATCGCAATATATTTTACTTGAGTCTTGTACAAGTTCTTTGTTCTATACTCAATAGAACTATATCATTAAAATTTATCGTAGGGGATATAGCTCAGTGGTAGAGCATTCGACTGCAGATCGAGAGGTCCCTGGTTCAATCCCGGGTGTCCCCTATTTGTTTTTTTTATTATTTTTGCTTGGTATTCAAATATAAAAATATATACAATGCAATCTTTTCATAAAATAAAAATAAATGGAGATAAATGTCAAATGTTCAACGTCGATTAATATTTCTTATTCGTTGTGCATGTCTTAACTGTGCTTTTTTCTTTAATGGATTAAACGTATTGGAAAACTTCGTAAAAGCAGTATACATTACTACAGCTTGTATAGGAATCATAGCAGCCATCATGACAGCACTCACAATTGCTACTGGTTGTGCACATGCATTTATCTATTATATATATGTTAAATATGAGTCTTATGTAATTGAAAACTTACGAAATCTATAGGATACATGATAGGAACGGTAGTTTCAGTTGATCCAGTTGCAGTAGTTGCACCTGCTGTTGTTGGACCTATAGAACAGAAGTGAATGAATAACAATAATAATTTCAAAAAAGAAATAGTATTTTCTTACCAGCTGTAGTTACAATTGTAGTAGTTATAGTTGTTGTAGTTGTAACAGCAGCCGTAGTAGTTACCACTATGCCAGATGTTGTACACTATGAAAAAGTTTCATATTATGAATAAATGTCAGTTGAAATAAACTTACTGCAGTATTAATAGAAGTAGTGGTGGTATGTAAGGATGTAACTGTATGAGTTGTTGGTGGAGTAGTAGTTGTTGTTGTTGTCGATGATACAGCTGGATCCCAAATGTTAAATACCCAATATGTTGGATCATAAATCGGAGCAGATTCAGGACCTTCAATGATGTATCGTTTAATTTATTAACCAATATAATTAATAATTTATTACTTACCACAAAAATCAGTTCCACTAGCAACACCTTAAATCAAACAACATACCAACATATTAATTGAAAATACTGTGTAAGAGTAATAAATTTATACATACCACTATCAAATGTTACATAATAAAAATGTCCAGGAATCCATGGTGCAACTGGAAAACGAATGATAGTTGTAAAACCTGTATATATAACTTCGGGTGCCCAACCACAATCGAATTTTTGAACGAGTGTATTATTAGCAGTAGCATCTGTAAAATAGATGTAAGTACCATTAAGTGTTGGACGATTTACAGATTTTGTCGCTGAAAAAACAAAATTTAAATACAACTAAATGTATAAAAACTTATTCACAAATATTACTTTGAATCGAGAAAATGGTTTGATTTTGAAAGACAGTGCCAATTGGTGAAGCTGAACCTTGAACCATTGTTGGACGAATGATATCAGGAGATTCAAAGCCAACTAAAAATGTAATACACCATTGATTAGATTGAAGTTGAATATTATCGATAGCTCCAGCACAGAATGATTGTGGACCATATTGAGCAGCTATGGGAAACCAACTAAGAATGATTTCATAAACATCTGTAACGAAATAATGTAAGAAACAAAATAAGACACATAATATACACTAACTAGGACTTGAATGGATAATACCACTCTTTTTCATACCAGTTGGAGCACTACTAACCAAATCAACAATAGCATGTCCAGGACAATAAACTTGTATAATAATATATTCAGTAACATTGGAACCGATAGGTGTACCAATACAAGCTAAAATGGAGTAAATAATTATACATGTGGAAAGAATATATAATAAAGTTATATATAATTTACCTCGATTTGGCCGATTGCCAATGATAGCAGGTGGAGTAGTACAACTACCGGTAGGTGCAGCATAACCATAGAAAAGAAATTGTATTGGGACAGAACTCATTGGTGTTGTATATGAACTACTATAATAATCTTCAATTTGTAATGCTGCTGCAGCATACACTCCAGCATTTGTAAGCGTAAACACAAGTGTGCAATTATCCCCAATAAGATTAGCACCAGGAATACCATAGCATACACCACCACATTCATCAGCACCGTTAAAATTACCTGATGAATTTGCCCATCGGCATCTCAATATATCGGTTCCATCAAAGTCAGACATTTGAACAACATGTACTTGTAGAATATTAATTTCTTTGTAAACAATAGGAAGACTGACAGCAATAGGACTGGAATTTATGTAACCATCGGGTCTCAGATTAGTGTCGACTCGACAGATAACACGCCATTGCATGGTGCCACCAACAACAAGATTTGTAAGCCAATTATTATTTATAAAACCAATACTAAATGAGATATTTAATGGAAAAGTTTGCGTTTCATAATGTTCACCAGAACTAACAATAAGTGCAACACTATAATCGGTACAGTTTATTGCTGTATCCATACTAGCCCAATGACTACAATCACCAGTATAACATCCGACATAATAGCCAGAGCCACCTCCAAGAGTATCATGTAAAGCTATGGTAGCATCATCACAGTAAAAACTAGGACTATAAGCACGATTCCATGACCATCGTTCACGCATTTGAACGGCAACTGTACTACCGGATGGAGTATTATTCAAAGGACGCCTATAAAATAGAACAATAAAAACAGCTATTAGTAGAAAACTATATATATATTATGTACCATGTTATTGTACCACCACGAAAATGAACACCATGTACAATAGTACTATAACCTACTAATAAGATTAGAAGCGATCGCACAATCAACATCATCTATGTAGTAAAAAAATGAAATATTTACAAAAAATGATGGTTTAAATACTCTAGCTGAGATTTGTTTGTTTTTATTTGCGCACTTTTAATGAAGTAGTACGATTTCAAAAAACAAAAATTTTATTTTGATATATACACGGTTGTCTAGAATAAATATTATAAAATCTATACAGACCTCGTTCATTTCTAATTACTTGTCAGGAGGAAGATAAGAAATTTGTAAAACATTTCTTCCTATTAATGTATTTATGTAAAAGAAGAAACAGAACTAATACACACCTTATATGTTTTCACCTATTTTAAATAACTAACAAAGAGGATTTTTCTTAGTTACATATTGAAATCATTATTGATTAGTGAAATATTTATTTTCAATATTTGTTAAAACTAAAGATCGTGTGTTTTATTTTCTTATTGAATTATTTTTTCAAAAAAAATTTAGTTAAATATTTCTAATAACTAACCGATGTCATTATATTGATATAGAAGTTATTTTAAATAAATAAATAAAGAGAAGCCTATTTTTTTTTAAATTGCATTTAAGCAAGCAAACAATAATCTTCTAAATCAAATATAATTTTGATTAAAATCATACAAAGTTGATTTTCTATATTTTTAATGATTAAGAAGATTATTTTTCGATTAAAAATCGAATTATCGTTGATTTGAAAGATCTCAATCGATTATGATCATACGCAATGAGGCATAATTTGGCAGTTTTTCATTGGGTTAAATGCAGAGAAATACTTTATTTGAGTTGTATTGATGTTGTTAATGCTTGCATGCATACCGTTGTTGACCTCACCCACATCCCAACTTTTATGGTCTTTTCGAATATGTTTACATATATCGTATTAACAATTCAGTTTCCTATCTTGCTTGTTGTTTCCATTGATGTGATTTACGAATTCTATATTTGGAAACCTAACGCTACTTATCGTCTATTGCGAGGTACGATGAAAAATCAAACGACTGGCATCAAAATATTTCAAATCATTCTATATTGTCTCTTATTCGCTATAATTATTAGTGAAATTATCACATCGTTTCTGATATATTTAGAATTAATGTTTTAAACCCATATTACTCATCACGTATTAGTCATGCTTAATATCTTATTAAGCATTTTAAGTATAGTTTACACTTGAGAAATATTATTTCAAAAGGCGATCGATGATAAAGGACGATGGTTCAAAGAAAATGAAGGTAAAAACTCAATTGAAAACTACTATGGGATTGAAAGTGTTTTTTTTGTTCTTCATTTTTTCCTTCTAAAATGAGTACTTTTTTAACTGAATATTGTGCATAAAGGATACCCCAAATTAAAGAAAAAAAAACTTTAGTAAACAACTATAGTATATGAATGGTGATAGGAAAGAGAAACCCACATCTTAAGGGTGAGGATGGGTGTTGGTGAGGGTGTCGATGTCAGTTCCGTATTCATCATACATCTATATGCACACCCACACCCCGGTTTCGTATTTTGACACTACTGAAAATAGTTAAGAGTAGTGCTTAGTTATTTCAGTCTTTTCATCATCTAATAATATTAATTTCATAGCTAGATTTTACCCCATATATATCTATATGACATAACTGAATGTTGCATAGATTACTTAGAATTGGCGGGGTGGGGGTGGGTGTGGGTAGGTACAGCAGAAATATCACTCACACCCACACCCACCGACACCCACACCCTCAAGATATATTGCCCACATCGAAACTGTCGTTTCTATTCATGCCTACCTCACATCTACATCCATATTCGTGCTCCTCAAGATTTTTGTTGTTACCTTTTGCAAGCTAAGAAGAAACTATGAAGATAAATAATATCATCGTCAATAGAAGCAAAACAAATGCTTCTTACCGACTTAGATGTCTAACCTTGTTTATCATTCTTTTAAAAATCAAGATAAAAGAATTTATTTACCGTCATATATAAAAGGTAAATTATGTATGATGTGCATTCTTTTATTTATTTCGAAGAGAGAAACTATTACGAGCATATACGTCAAAAAGACAGAATAGCAAGTGATTCATAAATAACCAAAGTGAGTAAATATTACTCAACCTATCTTCTTTTATAGCGTTTTTTTTGCTTCTCGAGATCAATGTGTGTGTGAAGTAGAATTTAAATGAATTCTCATAAGCTTACATTCTAATTAGGGCCTCAGACGAATATTATGACTTGTAAATGTCACAGGGATGTTTATTTTTGTGATTTGTTATGTTCTTTTAGTAGTTTGCAAAAGAGGGAATAAGAAGTACATGAGTGTGGATGAACACAAGACTATCTATGTCACACTCAAGTTTACCAATAGCCTCATCCTCATTGAATGTCATTCACACTGAGTTCATTCAATTTTTAGTTTATGATCGTAGTATCTTCAGATAAATTGATCAGTAAAAGTTAGAGTTGAAATTCCATATATATATATATAGGAGTTTTAGACATTACAAAACTCTTCGAAACGAAAGTTAGTGTCATGCAGATTTTGAGATACGTCTTTATATTGTGAACACACATTTGTCTTCAAACATTAATCTACCACTTGACATATATCTATGCTATGCTCTATTTAAAGAAATATCGATTTGAAATAATAAGTTTTAAGTATAATTAGGACTAGGAGCAGATTTCGAATAAGAATCAAGTTGACACGTATAAACGTTCATTTCAGTTTAATAGATTATTCTATATTGTAATTAAATTTTCATATAAGAGCTTTTTTTCTCCTCTTAACACATTTATTTTTTGTACTTATTAGAATCAATTACTTCTATTTAATAATTAATTATTCTATGGGTGAAAAACAAACAAAACTCAAAAATCATGAAGAATTATCTGAATCAGTAAATCCAAGTAAGTAATTCAACTATTATATCTATTAAATAACAAATCAATAAAATAAATCAAATAATTTAAGATTATACTTTTACAATTTTATACAGATTAAATTAAAATAAATCATTGTATTTTCTTTTTATCAAGATTCTTATCAATTAAATCATTCTACAATTAGTACAGCGACTATATCAAAGACTCAAATAACAATTCAATCTCAACTACAATTACGTATGTTTATTCAATAAAAAATAGCTTTATTATCTTTGAAATTGAATAAAGAAACTATTTTGAAATTAATTTTGTTAGATTAAAAATTTGAAAAAATTAAAATTTTATCTTATTATCGCCCTTTTCTGATTTAAAAGTAATAAAAAAGATTTTGAATAAAAAGAAAATCTTTTATTTTAGAAGAAATTCAAACAAAAAAGAATCAATTTCAACAAGTTGCAGTTACTATTACTGTAGGGAATGAAAAAAGACATCAATTGAATCAACTCTCTAATCCTTGGGGGATCTTTATTGATAATGATGATAAATCAATTTATATTGCTGATTCATGGAATCATCGTATTGTTAAATGGAAATTGGATTCAAATAAAGGTAAAATCATTGCAGGTGAAAATGGAAAAAGAAATCAAAATAATCAATTGAGTTGGCCAAGAGATATCATTTTTGATAAAGAAAATAATTCTTTTATTGTTTCTGATGAAACAAACATCCTAGTAATTCGATATACTGATAAAAATCAACAAATTATTATTTCAAATATTGTTTGTTGGGGTCTAACAATTGATAAAAATGGATATGTCTATGCTTCTGATTATGAAAAACATGAAGTAAGACGATGGAAACAAGGAGATAAAGAACGTGAATTAGTTGCAGGTGGAAATGGTCGGGGAAATCATCTTAATCAACTTAATGGACCTACTTTTATCTTTATTGATGAGGATTTCTCTCTTTATATATCAGACTCTTTAAACCATCGTGTAATGAAATGGAGAAAAGATGCAACAGAAGGGATTATTGTGGCTGGTGGAAATGGTCGAGGAAATAGTCTCAGACAATTGTCTTCTCCTCAAGGAGTGATTGTTGATCATTTCGGTCACATCTATGTGGCAGATTCTAATAATCATCGAGTAATGCGTTGGTGTGAAGGAGATAAAGAAGGTGAAATTGTTGTTGGTGGAAATGAAAGAGGAAATCTATCAAATCAATTGAATTCTCCCGTAGGTTTATCATTTGATAATGAAGAAAATCTTTATGTTGTTGATTCGTTTAATCATCGAATCCAAAAATATGAAAAAATTGTTTTAATTTAATTTAATAAAATCTCAGTTTTTATTTTTGAAAATAAATAAATTTGTTTTTCATTTTTAGAAAAAAAGTAAATAACTAATTATTCCAGCTACTGTAGCAATGATATTAAATACCAATGCTAAAATACTCATTGTTTGAGCACTACTTAAATCTTGATTGCGCTTCTTCATACGACAAATGAATGAAAAAATCAGAGGTAAAAAGCCACTGCCCATTTCAAGAAATATATTTATGGTAGACCACGATAACCAATCACGAATTTTTTCGATGTCAGATATTACATGAACATGTCGACGATGATTCATAAGTATTTATATTGAAGAGATGTTTTTTTATTCGATCGAACTATTATCTCACTTTGTAGACCTTTATAAAAATATTATAAGAAAAAGGAATGAAAGATACTGTTTATTTATTTACAAAGTGACTTCATATTAGAAAAAAAATTGATAATTTCATTATAATTTTCTTCACGTGTTTTATCAATAAAAGATTCGGAGTGAATATGAACAAATATGTACGAAATTAATCCAATCCAATTGATGATTTCAATAATTGTAGTAGCAATGTTAAGTGTAAACGCTACTGTACTCATCTTCTGAGCGAATTTTAAATCATGATTATGTTTTTTATGTCGACAAATTAATGAAAAAATCAAAGGAATGAAGCCAACACCAAATCCAAAAAATATATTGATAAAAGACCATAATAACCAATCATGAATCTTGTGTTTCTCAGATTTTAAAGGAACATTTTCACTATGATCAACAAGAATAGTTGTAGACTGTTGTATTTCATCAGAATTCATATTGTAGAAGTGCTTCCTTTCACAGAAAGTAAAGATATTGAGTAAACATTAGAGAATCCTAGATATATATATCTCAGATGGAATTATAATCAGGATTTTTTCCAACTCTTTTTTGATTAGATGTGTTTTTTAAGCTTGAATTACTATTCTCATTCGGTGACCTTTCATAGGCATATTAAAGAATAAAACAAAACGGAAGAGCGATAGGAAAAGGACATTTTGTATTGTTTGTATTCTCATCATGTATTGATAAGACAAAAAGATTTTATTGATATAAAACAATAACAATGTTATCAATATCTGCATCAATAGATGTTAGACTATACATAAGTAAATATAATTAACTATAGAACAAGTTCATAGATACAAAATCTTGAATAGTTAAACAATAATATTTACAACTAGCAATGCATTATGTTGATCACCGTTACTATCTTTTGCGATGTGATATGTTTTATAATCAAATAATAATTCAAATTTTCGAAGTAATTTTATCATATTATTATTTTCAAAAACATCATTACAATAGTATCAAATATTTCTTTACATTTCAAACGAACGAATAGAATTAAAAAATTGTTCTCTTTATATATAACATAAAGAAATGTTAGGTTTGAAATTAATTAAAATAAAATAGAATTTTCGTACTTCATACATCACCGGCCTTGTGGCCTAATGGCTATGGCGTCTGACTTCGAATCAGAAGATTGCAGGTTCGAGTCCTGCCAGGGTCGTTATTCTTTTTTTCTTTTTCTTTTCTTTTAAAACTTTTATCATAAATCCATTTGTTTACTTAAGTGTAAATTTATATCATAGGTACTCACATCCTTCTGATTATTTTTTGAAAGTACTACTATTTATATATACATTTTTTTCCTGACTTGTTCAGTATATATGTTGAACCGTTTGAAAAATAAAGCAGATGTTTTAATTTCGATCAGTTAAATCAATCTCTCTATTAAAAGGTATCAAATTTCGTTTTATTTTTCTATCAAAATTACTTTCTTCAGCTGGAATTTATCTATCTATAAGAACGAAAAATAATCTCATTGTTCTTTTCTTCTATATATAATAAATACCATTCTGGCTTCTCTACCTATTATAAAAACATCTTCAGAGTGCGGGCGTGGGTGCTAGGTGAATACAGTAGTCACACCCTCAAGATTTAGATTACAGTTTATTTCAATTTATCCCTGGTAAATAATCTTCTTTTTGTGCACATAGGCTTGCGACATTTATTATTCATATCGAATTAATTCAATAGAATGAAACTAAGCAGAAAAAAACGATTACCATAATAATTAATCATATGTTAATCGTGATAGAATCAATAACGATGTATGCATATATATAGATAAGTACCGTTGGGTGTGGTATGAGCGTATTAACCATGACACACCCACATCTACACCTTCAATATCAAGATCGACAGTTGATATTTGGGAGTAAATGTCTCGCGAACATCTTTCATGGGTTCCAAACTCTAATAGCTCTGATAAATCGTTGCCACCAAGTATTAATTGTTTTTTTGAATTGTTTCTTGTAGAAAGTCGATGGTAAAACGAATATTATAAAGATAAAAGACGATGGAATAAAAGAAATAAAATAACCGAATAGATACAACCAGGGACTTCGAGATGCTTTAACACATCCTGATGATAGTGAAATAAGAAAACGAGGTGATAATAAAATGACTAGTACAATAGGACTAATAACAAGGTGTTTGTGCTCATTGAATTTATTAAGTAATTGTTGTTGATAGCTAATATGAGTTCGAAGGATCGCTTGTTGACGAGTTAACTTCAGTATGATGAAAAGAGTCGCAAATAGATTAGCAGAAAATGGTGCGACAAAATGAAAATATTGTACGACGGTAGTATATATTTGAACTGATTCAGAATAACGAATTACACACCAAACACGGTGTTCTTCGTGATCATCGAGTAAATCGCGTTGAATAAGTTCATAACTCATCGAACCCAAAATAAAGAATGGTAAAATACAAAGTGTCCGTCGTGCAATACGTCTACTTTGTTTCTTGTTAAAATTAATTCCTTTGAAAACTGCTATGGCTCTTTCAATACCTACACAAGTATTCAGCCAGTTACTCATATATAAGAAAAATCTAAGTAGAGGTTCGAATAGTATACATCCGATTTGATGAATATTACGATTGATCGATTGATTTATATATGTATATGTTACAAACCAAAATTTGATGATTAACATACTGACAACCAGAATAGAAATGATTGATGATAATCGAAGATATATTCCAGAACCTACTCTACGAGAATTTGGATTATGAAAGACTAGATAACTAAGAAAACCATTTACAGTACCAATTAGAAAAATAATCATTATAGCAGTAGCACTTAGCTTAATAATCAATGATTGATCATTTAATGTATTATTAGGTCGAATTTCATAACGTAATAAATCGTCTAATGTCAGTCCAATGCCTTTGGCATAAAATTGACATCGATTACCAAAGAAACAATCAGAACATATACATAGAATGTTATTAGAACATATACGTCGATCTTGTAAACATGTTCCACCATTTTCACAATAAACATCATCTTCACAGGCAAAGATCCGTTGGTGTTCTAATGGAAAACAGTTACTATCTCGTTCTTCCGTACACAAACACATGTAGAATTCATCGACAAAACATTGTAGATTAGAATCACGTTGACATGGAATATGATAGCTTTTCAATCGTTGAATTCGTGGCATCGAAAGTAATTTATCATTCAAAAGCTCATGAATTGGAACACATTTTTGGGCGGGACTGATGGAGGTTACTATGTTGGATGATACAAATTTTCGAAGTACAGCCAAATAATAACGATTATCAATCTTGGCAATAACCATTCGGAACTGTGCTTGAGAGTACAAGGTGATACTACTTTGAAACATAGTCATTTTTCTGAGTATAACAAATTTTGGTGGTGATCGTTCGAAACTAATCTCAGTATAAATATAGACGAGTAAATACAATGGAGTTTCGATATTTGTAAGGGAAATATCTATTCTATGTTTAACACTTTCGCATCTTGTCCCGAAAAATTGCTCAGAACAAAAGCACACATAACTTTTATCAATCATTCTCTCATCGATTACTACACAACGACCATTATTTTTGCAGACTCCTATTGGACATACTAGTTGAAGACGACAAGAAGAACCAAATTTTCCGTGAGGACAAACACAGATTGATCGATTTTGAATCGAACCAGTACAAATCGAATTTGATACACACATACTGCAATCTATTGGAATGTGACATTGTGCACCGGACCAACCTGAATAACATTGACAGAAGAATCGTTCTTCATTATGATATTTCATACAGGTACCTTTATAACATTGAAGAGCACAGCGTTTAGTATTGAATGTTCGAGAAATCGGAAGAGTTAAAAACGCACTTATCCGATTGACTGGTAAAAAGACGAATGAAATCGTTAAATGCCAACTTATTAGATATTTCAATGAATCTTTATTGAATGCATCGATACGGATATTATAGTTTTTTGAATTATTCTTTCCGCGCTTCGAATATAACAGATAGAGATTCACAGATTTACCGCAATACTTTAGTGGTTCATAAGTGAATTGATGATACGAATGAATTTCTTGTCGATCGTTGTCATCTTCTATCAACGTAACAACAATAGCATAAATAATTGGCTGTCTAACAGTTGCCAATGTTAGGGTTAGACTGACACGTTGATTTTGATATTGACATCGATCACCATAATAATTTGGTGGACAAAAACATATACTGCTATAGTTATCGATTCCAAACCGATGGTAAACATATAAACCATAATTACAGATCTCAGACTGTGTAATACTCTTAACCGGCGATGAAGTTATCTTTTTGTCATGAATCTGATTTTTAATGGATTTATTCTGAATAGTATATAATGATGGATAATCTAATGCAGTTTCCAATGAAAACAAAGGAAAAGGTTTATTAATGACTTGACAAGAAACGTCTTGCATATTGATAAGCGTATCAGAATCAGAGCCATAACATAATTGTAAACGATTAGGGCAAAGTGGCTCATTATCATAGCTAGGACAATTTTCATTTGCATTACAAAGATTTTCGTCTTCTATACATTCTGTGTCATTCCAACAACGGAATTTGTACATTTGAAAGGTGATATTAGGCACAATAAGGTATTTAAAATCATCGAACGATGCTCTAAAACAATCAACAGCTCCACCCCTAACTTGATCAGCTGGTAGACACTTCATTGTATAATTATGTGCTGAAATACAGAAAAGAATATGTTCTATATCAATGGGTTGTCTACAATTTTCTTCATCCTCTCCATTAAGACAGTTTCGAAAACCATCACATCGTGTGTAGATATTATTGCACTGCCAGTATTCGCAATCAGTTTCATCCGAATGATTTCTTCCATCAATCAGCATCGTAGATAAATCCATGATTCGATCACATATTTTATAAAATGGAATATCATCATGACTTATCTGTATCGGAAAAGAACAGATACTTGTTGGGAAAAAGCGTGATCGACACTGTTTCTCGTTTGGACATTGAAATTGAGAGGTTTGATTTAATGAACAACTTAATTCAGATAATGCTTGCTCATCATCTTTTAAGACACAATCTGATATACCGTCAAGAATTCGATGTTTAGAAATATATTTCGAGGAATTTTTACAATGATATAATGATGAACGATGAGCATCGACGATATGATAATGTTGAGTAATACAACCATCAAAATATGGTTTAATTGAATCGATAATTGATTTCCAAGTAGTCAATTCAGTGTTCATCGTAAGGTTCATTTGATCACCAGAGCGACATGTCAAAGATCCATGACGAAATGTAGGCGTGAGAAAATCGCACAATTGTTCATCATAACATATATAATCAGGTTTAAGAGATAATGTAACATTAATATTGTCAATCTGTTTTGGATGATATAAAAATGTTACATGACCATAGAGTACAGGAATAACCGGAAATTGAAGAGGGAACTTACAACTTTTTAATTGTTCGATAATCTCAGAAGATTGAATGAATTCATCACATGATATATTCTCAATTTTGTCCATTATTTTCGTAAGACAAACCATGCTTATCCAACATTCGTATAATAAGTTTCCTTGAACACTAACCGATTGAGCCAAAGCAAGATGGCGATTATTTTTACATCGACTAAAATCTTCTACACATTGCCCATCACCACACGAAAATTTGCCTTCATCAGGTCGACATATAAATTCTTGACATTCAAACAGATTCAAATGGAAATAAAATCTTAGGCAGAATGAGTTAACTGAATTATCCGATCCATCAAGACATTGTGCTTCTTCAAAATCCATTTCCATGAACATTTTTGGAATACACAATCCATTATGGCATCGATATTCATTTTCGTTGCATTCATTTATTTCTAAATTGAAACATTGAATTTCATCAACACCACCATTAAGACAATCAATTCGACCATCGCATATC